ACTTTTATTTTGCTTTTATTATATTTTTGTTTGGGGCTTATGTTTAGTTAGGACGAAGGTTTCCTCACCATTCACCTTAGGAACTTAAAAATAGAAGAGAAATCAACTCACCGACGAAAGAAAAGCGCTGTAGAAAAACTCGCGCACACTTGTGCTTCCCGAGCGGAAAAAAGTAAGTCCGCCCCGAGAAAAGGGGGGAGACCCCACAAACACGAATTAGGGACTCGCTAAACCTTAAAGAATAAAAACGCCCCGAAAATTGTGAAAAGGAATAATGTAAAAGGTTAGCGAGTATTGTTGGAAAATAGGCTGCCAGACAAATAGAAAAAAATTATTGTTAGCGAATAAGTATGTAAATGAGGGGAGTGATCTCATTCAGAATTGTGACGTCATCTCACAGTATAAAAACAGAATGTCAAGTGAAGATGCCTGAGGTGAACTCCTGACAGCAACAAGCTTTGGTGAGCTTCGTAGTAGTGAACGAGAGAGGTGTCCGATAGGATCAAATAGTTCCAAGGCAATTTTGAACTTATTCGATTTGTGGATCGACAATTATAGAAAGTCTTGATAGTTTGAGGAAATAGGTTCCTAGTATATTGAGGTGACGATTAGGATCTTTAATTTATAAGAATTATTGTTTATAAGTTAAGTCTTTGATTTTGTCAAATTCCAAAGGGGAATAGAATTAAGTTAGAAATAGATTGATTTAGTTTTGTCGGGTTGATTCTTGTTGAATTTCATTGAATAAATTATTGTTTGATTTTTACTAAATACTGTATATAGTTTATTACTAGAAGTTTAATTAAATATTCTATTTTGTTATTGACAAACTTTGTCATTATTTAATTCGGTGCACGCTTAAAGTCCAAGCCTGGCACACTAACGTGAATCCACGTAAAGTACCCGTTAGGGAACAGCTATTTCCGGCACACAGTAGTGTCGATAATCGTTGGAAAGTCGGAAAATTAATATAGTACTTTACAACACTATACTGTCAATTTCCACATTTATTACATAACACAAAAATTGATATCGAAAACTTTACATTCCAGCCATGCAAATCAGACATCCCATGTCAAAACGGAAGGCTTTACATGTGCCATTCAAGATCAATCAATAACTACAAAATATTACCAAAAAATGATATCAAAAGAAAACATCAATGTCAAAGGTCGGCCCATTTTCACACGACAGCGTGAAACTGTGCTAACCACTCGGATTGGTGCCACTATTGCCACCGACAACCAAGGGAGACCGCAATTAGGCTTTCAAATGTAAAACCCCACTCAACTCAGGAGTGTAAACCCCATTAATCAGATGATGTCTAAACCAGTATTACGATCGGACGGCATAATTGTCACGGTTAAATCTCCACTGACACGGGTTCGGTCACTCTTGGCTTTGTTTCTCCCTGCAGACCTCGCAAGCATGGACACAGTTTGTCCAAATTAGAGTGCTCTCACCACAACAACGTGGCAACTGACAAGAGAGTCGTCATTATTATTTTATTACTATTAACAGTACTAGCAAAAAAAAGGAGAGATGGTCAATAAAAAGTCAAAGAAATGAAGGAGTCAACAGTCAAAAAGATTTGGGAACCCTCAATCAAAAGTAACAAAGTTGTAAATTAATACATATTGAAAAATTCTTTTATCTGTAAAGTTAAACATTGCAAAAACATTCAAAAGAAAATGCCAGTTTCAAACTGCCGACATCTGGCAGTAAGCGGAAGAGCACCCATCAAAACTAGAAATTAGAGAGCAAATGGACCCTGCAAATGGACCCCACAAAATGGTTTTCTCACACAAACAGGCATCCCACAAAACTGATCCAAGGAACGGGCAAAGAAAGAGTGCTCAACGAGATTCACATCTGCCATGGATCTCCCTCCTAAGAGGCGGCCGAAAAAGAGCAAGAGGGAGACCATTCCCGGCAGAGTCAGTAGAATATCTGGTCTTTTGACTGCCTATCTTTGCTACTTGTTAAAATCAACTAGAGACAAATGTTACCACCAGGGGCACTGCAATCACTACAAGAGCTCAAGGTCTATATAGACCTTGCAAAAGCTTGGCGAGATTGAATGTTTTTTATTGAAAGAAATATAACCTTTGAGTTCAATTTCATAATTTTCTATATGAATTTTATTATAAGAATTAAAAAGCTTTTATTTAGACCCAAAATCAAGGTTGATGGATAAATAAATGACAATGAAGAAAACTGACATAATAGCCAATTATTAAATTGTGCTATTGTTATTATGTCAATTTATTATACACTAGCTGTTACCCGCGACTTCGTCAGCGGAGGTTTTGCAAGCAAACCCCATTTACATCCAATATTTCAATAACCATAGTAATTGTTATATAACACCTACCGCTGAAGAGAATTGCCGAAAATCAAACGAACTATTTTCAATTTNCAATGAAGAAAACTGACATAATAGCCAATTATTAAATTGTGCTATTGTTATTATGTCAATTTATTATACATTACAAATTATTATACATACAAACAAATTATATTATATGTAATAATAATCATTATTTGTGCTATTAAAATTTACTTTAAGTAAGAAATTTTTCTGTGTTTTTTACTTTTAACTGATGAAATAAATGATTGATTAATTAATTGTTCGAGTGAAAAAATGCAACCGACAGGTAACAAAAAAAGTGAAAAATCTGGAGGTCAAATATGACTTGTGAACAGCTGTATCGCATTCTATCATCAATGTAACCTGATTTAATATTATATCCATTATTGAAAAATAAACACCCATGTTTGGTTTTGTTAACTGTACACACAGTTTGCTTTTTATTTAGTACATCAATTGGCAAAGCTTATGGCTTGGATATAACAAACTAACTCCATATTTGATGAATGTAAACGTCTTCCCTGGTGCAGCATTTTAAGGTTTTGCTGTCAATATATTTTTCATTCATTGCAACCAAGTGATGGCAGTAGAGAATAAACCTAATAGTGTAGAATAAACTTAATAGTGTAGAATAAACTTAAACATTTTTAGTGCAAAATAATCATTATCTAATAATTCACTATCAGCATGATCTCCAAAGTACAGGCTTGGATTACAAAACAAATTTTGTAAATGTTCTTCTAGTTGTATTTGGACATGTGTATCTTGCAAATCTAATGATTAATTGTATAATCTTTAAGATTGATAAGGGAAGGTTGTATACAATAATAATTCTTTATAAGGGAAGGTGGTCCACAAAGAGATAGTTAAGATTTCTGATATTTACCATTCAACAAAACCATGATTATATATACAGTTAAAAATTGTTTAGACACTAATAAAAAGACATTATAGTTAACGGTTACAGTGCAATTATTCTACATAGCATGCTCTTCAATGTGATGAAAGTTTAATGTTGTTGTTTGGAGCTATAGGATACAATAAGGGTGCGACTATGCATATGCTAGCGAGCGAGAATATATGGCGAGAAGAGGCAAGCCACAATAATTATCAAACTATCAGATATGTGCGAGAACCAGAAATTAGCTCTCACCAACGAGATTTCTTGCTTGTGCACGGTTTTCCTTTGAGAGAACTATCACTCGCAACTAAATTCACATCTGCATAGTTGCACCCTAAAGGTTTTCTATCTGTCATCCCACTTTCCTTTAATATTAGAGAACAAACATATATTATCTTTGGCATTATATTTTCCCGAGCTCTTCCTAGGTGGTTCATTTGTTGTTAGACATTGCACTAATTGTTTTTGAGGTACAGACTTACTAATGTACTTAGGACAGTTACAACACGACACAGATATGTTTGTTTTGTAAAATCACGGCAACGCAACATGCCTAAGAGGATGCTTTTCGGGGTCTTAAGAGTAACTGGCCCCTATTCGGGTGTTATAGACGTGGATAAAACACAGATAACTCCACAGGCCAGCCCGTCCCGGCAAGGCCACTTTGACGGATATGCATCCGACGTTAATGCCCCGTGATCTCACGGAATTTCTACTTTCTCTACATTTATAACACGGGAGTACATTTTTAAATAAATTTACTTGTACGTCACAAATGTAATATTTACTTGTTAGCATCTTGTCATCTCGTGGAACGCATTGCGTCCACGCTTCAATCTTTATCACTAGGAACACGGAAGAAATGTCTCTTTTTGTTTGACGACTTATATCCCGCCTCGCATCCCGACACAAAGCACGCCGACATTTTTACGTATCATAAAAAAAGAACAACCGTTATAAGTCAAAATCACCGACTTCACCACTATATCCAAAGCAAGAAAAAAAGCTCTTCTGCCAACGAGGCGCCAACTAGCGGCAAATACCGGCTCTAGCTAGGTTTGAACTGTTAGTTAAAAGACCAGGTAATCTACCGACTCCGCTCCCGGTCAGAAGGAAGGACAGACGTACGTTTCGAAAAGATTTTCAAAACAAAAGCAAGAGCCGTCCACGTCTAACCGGGCTCTAAAGAAATTCCAAAGATCCTCGGACAGAGACTACAAACTCGAAGCCTCCTCGAGCAGAATTAGCATTTTTTCATTTCCACTTACGCGCAATGCCAAAATAAGTCTTTACACCGATAACATGTTTAATTATTACGAGTTATTTAATTATTTTCACTAAAACTTTTAATTATACAACTTTATTCAGTTTAATGATCCTTTTAATGCAGCGTAGGGTGGTGAGGAAGTTTATCATCTACCAACAAGTAAAACCGAATCTTGCACGATTTATTTCGGAAAGTTTCAGGTTTTACATAAGACGCCATCAGTAAACGAAATAATTTCTTTTGAAAGAAATTAATCAAATCACAACTGCTGAACGGAATTGGTGTTTTGTGGGATTTTCTTGGGATAAAAATGAAATGAATCATTCATTACCTTTCTCGACACGTGAAAAGTATTGTTTAATTCGATTTTTCCTTCTACGTATCATTAACACGACATATTTTAAACTAAAATTTTTCTCGACGAATTTTGTACTTATTGAAAAAACATTAATTTCTCTTACCATATTGAAATATTTATGAAAGGTTTCGCATATGCAGCATCCACACTTTCGTTCGAGATTCCAGTTAGGAAAACGACCACTAGAGGAGCTAGAGTCGTTAATATACGGTCGTTGCCAATTTCGAATAAAATAAATACTGTATATCGATTTACAAAATTCAATATTTTTTAAAATTAAAATTTAACTTTATGAATGTTACAACGGAATTATTTACTTGTGTATTATATAAAACTTATTAATAAAATAATGGAATCGGTCTACGTTGCTACTGTATTAAACTGTCATTTCCAGTCATCTTTTTCTTTTAACTCTGTCTGTCCTACGAATACCAAGAGAGTCTTTTTTTGTCCTACTGCGTATTCGGCCAGATCCACGGCTGGATCGGACCCCACATATAGGAAATACAAGTTCCCGATTCAAATTCGAGTCCAGGTTCGCCGGAGCGGCAGTCTGACGCCTTCGCCGTCCAGGCTCAAGGTCTTAGTCCTTGGTCCCGGCTGAAATACTAGCCCGGACCAAGTCTTTAGAAATATTAGATATTAAAATCCACGGATAATAAAAAAGAATTTGAAAGAAATTTTGGTGGAATGAGTCATTTAGTTTTTGGGTTTAGCTATTTTGATAAAATTATATTTTATATTCCTTTATTATGATAAATGAATGCTCCTTAAAAAGATCGTATTATACAGTACATTACGACTGGCTGAAAAAAATCTTCGAGCGTGTCCTCCTAATCATAATAAATCTGATAACAGAGTATGTTAAGTTGGTTTGACTGGATGCGGCAACATAATACGTAGACTATCTACCAAGGGATAATCCCTCCCGGGAGGTTTTTTACGAGAATCTGGCACTCATTTAAGTGTTACATAATCGAAGAAAACGCGGAAAACTCCGACCCGCCCCGTTGGTCGAGCGCGAACCTAGGACCAATTAGCGATGTTCGATAACTCTATCCATTCGACTACTGGCGGTGGCGCAGAGTGTTAAGACGTTGTCTAGTTCATGAGATCGCGAGTCGAATCTTCTTCGATAACTCGTCGGTTTTTTATAAGAGGCTACGTTGGTCGAAGTAGCGCACTAACTAGAATTTATGTCGTCGACCTTATTTTAAAAGCTTTGAAGAATTTGGGTGCGTACAAAACACAAACTACACTTTTCAAAAATTACATTAAATACAGTTTGAGACTTCTCGAGAAAGATCGAAAATCTTACTTATATTCGAAAACGGTGTTGCTATTTCCTTGTCGAAGTATATGTAGTGTCAGACTTACATAAAAGTTTGATGAGCATCGCCTCGTTTCCTTTTTGGAGATTGACAATCAGTTTTTATTTTCGTAGTTGCTTTAACTCGAACGAACAGTAGAATACACTTAAATCCAGCGTGGCGTGTATGTGTTATCACGTACATTACAGTACAATGTTATAGGTGTAATTTATAAGGCCAATATAAAAATTTTTTGTATCGCTTTTAACTTTACTTTACGACGTTAAAAACCGAGACGAAAGCCGAAATTCGGACATTCTTAAGTGTCTGAGAAAGAAAACTTGTATGTATCAATTAGAGTGTTTATTTTTACTTTTTTTCCTGGAAAAAAAATACATTACAAATTAAATGCGTAGAAGTACGACAAAATGTCTTATTTTAAATCTTAACGTCCTTTTCAACACTCGGGGAATTAACTGTTCTTACGGCGGAGTCGACCTTCCTTTTTAGATCTTTTGCCTCAATATGTAAAATTCGGTTTAAAATATTCCCAAGTTTTCGGCACAATCATTATAATTTAGTTTACAAATTAAAAAGTATAATCGTAACATGCTAGGACGAGATTGATATACTTTATTACAAATCAAAACGCGATGTGATGAATGATCAAAAACAATTTTACAAATTTTTTAATTTGTAAAATAAAAAGTACCTCTGAAATTTCGTTCATTGTAACAGTAGTTTTGGCCAACGCCATATTAAAAATTGTATATAGGCCTACTGTATAAATGTTAAAATATATATTTTAATTTTCAAACAAGAGCATTTCGAAGTTAGCGACAATTCTTCTCCCGTCGTCAATTACGAAACCTATAAGCTGCCGATTTTTGAATATCGAAATAGAATTTCGTTTATGATCATTCCTTACACGGCACTTTATTTTTTATGTTATTTTTGAAAATGAACTTGTAAATTGCAGAAAACTTATAATTTTTTTTAATACTCTTTCCACCCTATGAACACTAAGAGGGCCCTCTTAGCGGGCCCATTATGGGTTCGGCCAGGTCCACAGCGGGGCAACTGGGTAAAGAGGGACGGAGCCCAGGTCCGCGGGCGAAGTCGCGGGTAACAGCTAGTGATATCATAAAAAGAATTTATACGAGGTAAATTTAGAATAAGTGTATTTACAATTACGACGACGATTACGTCAGACGAAAGCGACCTTGATGTATATGGCCAATGGCATTCGTCACTAACTATACGCGTGACGTCAGAAGCGATGCGACGTCGGCGGAATGGACGGCGCATGCTCGACGAATGAAAATTAAAAAAAAAAAAAAAAATTGAAAGTCAACAAGTTGTTTGGAAGCGCGAAGGATGTAAACGAATCGAATGGGGTGAGTATTTTCTTTTAGCAATTACAATTTTGAAAAAACTTTATTTCATAAATTGCGCCAACATAAAATATATACTTAAAGGCGTAAATTTTAAAATTTGAAACGGAAAAATTCTTTTTATATAAACTAAATTTAGGAATTAAGGTCATTTGTTGCAGGGCGATATATGTTTCTGTCTTCTACTGCGACGAAATCTGGTGGTTTACGGCTCGGTATTCGAGCAAATCAGCAAAATACAGTGGCGAGACGTACTTTTTAGCGACGATTAAGTGAAAAATGATATTTTTCCAGCCGAATTTTCTATTAACTTTATTAACGACACTTGTCACGCGCTGTCGTTGTCTAATTGCCAAACAGAAACCGACGCAATCGAGGATAAATCGTTACTTTTTACAAAGCGCAGAATCTAGATTATTGTAAAAACAGCTCGATTCCGTCTTCGGCACGTAAATAGTCCGCTTTAGCCTATCGAGTTTGTAGTAAAACTTAATTATTAAATTTTCTTTCTCGACCAAATCGAATGGTGATAAAGCGAACGGCGAAGCGACGGAGAAGATCTGTAAAAAATTGAAATAATATTCCGCCAAATGCGTAAGAAAAGCCGTAAAATCGTGCCTAAATATTACGGTGGAGCGACCTAAAAAAAGAACACGCCTGGGGATTTTTGCAAATTGAGGCGTCAAGTGTTCTGGCAGAAATACGCCCGCCTCTAAAAGAATGTAGAATTTTCGTTGGATAAATCGAACAATTATTAATTTCGTAAGACCGAGTTTATGGCTTCATAGAAACATTATAAAGTCGCCCGAATGACCTTGAGTGACAGACTGTTGCGGATATGTTTTATTCATTTTTAGCTTCGGAAATTCTGCCATTTTAAAATAAAAATCGTCTGGAATCTTTCTTCTCCATCGTCCTTCCTGTTTTATCACGTGACGATTAGATATTTCGCTTTTTGGCCGGAGCAACGAGTGGGGGTCAGAGATGTGGGCCCGACTCGTTAGGGACGGAAGAATCTCTACCGACGTTAATTGTTTCCGAAGTCAAGCGGCGTTAGAAAATGGAAAAAAAATAATCTGCCTTCCGAACGTCGATAAATTGCATTATTTACTAGGAAATGTAAGAGAATTTGGAATTTATCCAGTAGGTAGGGTGTAAGAATCGAGAAAAGAAAAGTCGTCATCGGACGTCGCGGCGTGGGACGTCCACCACGTGGGTGCGTCCTATCTAAACATCTGTTAGAGAAATGTCACCTTGCGGCGCTTGTATAACGACCCGAGAGAGATCCGTCCCTTTAGCCACGGTGGACGGGCCTCCGATAATCGAAATGTCGGCTAATTCGCCTCTTAAACGCGGCGCCCCGAAGGAGCGGGTCGGTTAGGCGAATACGGCCGTTCTTTCTCTTCGACGCCCTTCCCTACAATTCGTTAATTAGATAAAAGCCAAACCATTCATTTAGGTAATAGCTTTAAAAACTAGAAAAATACTTATTTATTTATAATTGCGCATTTTAATAAATTATTCTTACTCTTCGGCAGAGCGGTCGAGCCAGGCCAACATTTCGCACTTTCCGAGCTTCCGGACGGAAATGGACGACGAAAGCTGCACCAGGGAAATAAATAACAGCTAAATCGGCCTTCAAAATGCCCGGAAGCCTTCTGAGTGTAAATCGCAAAGTAAAGAGACAGGATTCCACTCGTTCCGACGTATCCACTTACAGCAACGACTCTAAGAAGAAAGTCAGTTTCAACAAAGCGGTAAGGGTCAAGAAGTACACCAGGTCGGAGGAGGGAGACAAAGACGTAGGAGGGGGAAGGAGATTTTGGTTCAAAGTGTACAAAGATGTCGACCCGGATTTATGGCAAGAGTATTCGGGAGACGACGACAAATATCGTTCGGACGATAAATTAAAAACCATCGACGAATTTTCCACCGTAAATCGGGCGGAGGAGCCGGAAAAAAGGAACAACGTTCGAAGCATGGTAGAGAAGTTTAACCGAGAAGCCGCCCACCGGGAAGAAGACGATACGTTGACCAAGCAGAAAAAAAATTACATTTTAAACGGCGTGAAAGCGCTCTTCAATTCGTCCTCCCTCAGAAATAAGAAGCCAAGTCCGTCGGTCCGAGACAGAAATTTGGAGAATTTGTTCCTGAACCAAAGTTACGACCGCCTCCTCTCTAACCGGCACGAGCTGGGAAATAACAGAATCGGCAGAATTCCGGAAGACTACGAAGGAAATGTGAGACGGGCGGGGGAAGACGTTAGAAAATGGGAAAGCGGCGATCGCTTAATATTGGACGCCACGCGAAACGAAAAGTCGGTGGAGCAGTCGGATAACGGACGGTGGAGCAGAACGGTGCAAGAGAGAGATCGGATTTGGGAAAACGTCACTCGAACCGTCACCTACGCCAAAGAGGTGGAAAAACCGCGGACCGAGTCCGACGGCGCGTGTCGGTGGCGCGGAGACGGAGCGGCGCGACCTAACGCGGCCGCGAAAAGTTTGGATAGTTATAAAGTCGCCCGTCCCAAAAACGGAACGACACGGGCTTACGGCGACGTCCCTCTACCGGACAAAGATAAACGTCAAATAAATAAAAGCGGGTGCTCCAGAGACCGCTGTTACGGAAACGCCGAAAACAGAAGTAGAAGAGAGTGCGCCCGGCAGAAATCGGAGCGAGACAGTCGGCGGGCGGGAAAGATCTCTTCCAGGGAATCGTCGCCTTTTAATAAATCCGATTCTTCCGATTACCGCCGAGAATATTCCGCTCCGGGGAACTCCGGGCGCCGGAACCGAAAGACGGACGACGCTCCCACCATCCAGAACGTTAGGATTACCGTCAACGGGGAAGAGGTGGACGGTCGAAGTCCGCGGGGAGGACTGGCCGCCGCCTTTAACCACCGCCAGAGAGCGCGGAGTTCCGGTTCCGGGTCGGAGGCGGAATCCACCCACCGACACAAAACGGTGTTTTTATACATACCGGGGATAAGTCACCGACAGACAAGCGCACGGACGGACGAGGAATCCGCCTCCACCCTCAAAGGGAGACCTCCCAAATATCGTTACCGCGGAAACAGAGCCGGAGACCCGTCGGATTTCGATTCGACCGAAGAATTATCGGACGGGCGTCGTTTCACCTAGGCCCGGGGCATGGCCGACGGCCTTTTTACCTCTTTTCGCAGCGTAACAACGGGCACGGGCTTTACCGCCGACTCTAAACGTTAGGAAAGAAAAAGTTTCTCCCCAAAACGGAATTGCCCAGTAATCTCTTGGCTTTAAACTTTTAACTACCGTATTTACGCGTTGGGTTCGGCCGCGGCGTAAAGGTATCCGTCCGAGCTTCTAAGGCTTTTAATTATTTAATAAACGAGGCCGCCGGCATAAACCTTTTCTTAGAACAATAAAACAATCGGATAATGGTTTTGCCGCCGAGAGCGACCTCGAATTAACGGCCGTAACAATAATGTGTAGTAAGTCGGTCGGCTAATTTTGTACCGAATGAGTTTAAAAATATAATAAATGCGCTTTTTTGTTTTTCTGCCGAGCTTATTTTTAATTATATGTAAATTTCCGGTTTGGTTCGGGAGATTCTAATTTCGTAAACGATTTCGGTAAGGCTTAAAGTACTCGGTCACCCGCCGTCGGAAGTGTGCTCCCAATTTCGAGTCAAACCAAGCAATTACGTCACGTTAGCGCACCGGGCCACTATCGAAAGGCGAACTCCGCCGCCTACGGTTTCGTCCCGGATTTACGCCCCGAAATCGTAATCGGCAGCGACCTACTTAAGTGGTTCCGGGATTTTAAGGATCCATCTGCCAAAAGTGCCGTTTGTAACCGTGCGTCCGCTTAGAATTAGTCAACGGACCGGCCGCTCATTTAAAATTATAGAATCTTTTCTATTTAAGGGACGGTATGTAAGTAAATACGTTTACAAAACCACGCGGAAAAGAGGAAAACGTTAAATTTATATTATTAAAATCGCGCAAGTTATTTTTCAAAAGTTCCCGGCCTGAAAATAAAGACAAATTATTATAAGTTTTTAAGTTGGGAGAACGAAAGCGCCCGGTGCCATTTCTTTACAATACGTAATTATCGAATAACCCGTGACGGAAATTTTAAAAGGGTAACCGAATTATACCGGAAATATGCAGGATCGGGAGGCGAGATGTCACCCGATTAAATAAAATCGAATTTACGGCGTTTAATTTCGTTTTTCGAAAACAAAGAACTTTTAGAAAGTGGCCGTGGGAGGAGCCAGAAAAAAGAGAGATCCACAGCTTTATTAAAAACAGTTATTGGAAGAAAATAATTAAAATAAACCGGCGGCCCGACCGGAAGGAATATCGACTTTCTTCCGGAACGAGTCCCCCCGCGCTTTCTACTAATTCACCGGACAATTAACGCGCCGGGCCGGGATTTACTTCCGCCTTTCCTTCCGGTATTTAGCAAACGCCCGCCATTTTTGCCCATTATTATCTGGTAGGTCCGGGGGCTTCCTTTCCATTCTTCCCGTCGTGGTTCGAGTGGAAAATGCGTTTCTACCGCGATTTGCAAATTACGTTACGTAACTAACCTCGGACGTTTGGTTTCTTTTAAACGAAATTTTCGCGGTTAATTCCCGGCGGAAGGAATCCCAACCCTTTCCTCCCGTCCTCGACCGACCTAAACGGAGCCGGATTCGGCCCCCGAGGCGTCCACCGGACTTTACGTTATTTCGCAGAATCGGTAATGGAGGAAGGACAGACGAAATTCGCCGCTCTTTCCCCCATTCTCGGGGACGAGTTTCGTCCGGAATAAGCACTTCCGCCGCCAAAGATCGATTCCCCAAATATCTAAAACCGCAGTTAAAAGGCGAAAATATTAAAAATTACGTAGACAAAGGCTTTAATATAAACGGAAATCTCTTGTTAAAATTTATATTTGTAGAATGAAAATAAAGAAAGCAATTACACCTATTTACAACCTACCGAGACCGTTATTAAAGAAAGTAATACGATTTTACAATTGGTACATTTTGATGTATCCGGACGTCGATAAACTCTATTTTAAAAATAAGGAGAAAGAGAAGAGGAGAGAATTTCGCGATTTCCGCCCTTTGTCGATGGAAATAATTCCTTTCCTACAATTAAAGGCTTTTAAACGCTTACATTTTATCAATACAATTTATTTAGTATTTTATCCGTGCGGACCGGAAAATGTACCGAACTGTATTTATTCGTAAGGAGCAGTCTGGCTCTTGCACCCGTATGGTAAAAATACACCGATGGAGTTATAATGGAAATTAATCGATATATTTCGAAATTTAGCTAAAATAATTATCTTTATTTTTTACTTCCGAATAGTAAATATTTTTGTTGATTTGCTATTAAGATGCTTGTAAAAGGCCAACCTGGCCACAGTGTCTTTTGGGAAAATAAATAAATAAAGTTTACGGTTCTCGTCCCGCCCATCGGCGAATACGGACTAAACCAATAGACCGAGCCGAATCAAATTTATATTTTCATCGGGCGGTTAAAAATCTGTCAAAATATCGATTTAAGCATTAGCCGGGAAAAATATACACCTTACGTATTAAGCGGAGGACAATAAAGTTTGTTGTGGCAGATAAGACGGGTAGAACTTATTTATTTACCGACAGCTTTGATCATTTTCCTTTTAACCGGAACGAGCGACACCGGACCACTCCGCCACTGTCCGGCCAAGGCCACGTTTATAATAAAGATTTTTGGCCCAAGTAGAGCTTTCTAGAGTTAAGCCAAGGTGACGGCATCCGCGCGGCGCGCTTTTTTATAATTAAACGTAACGAAACTCGATTGCGCGTAAACCAAAGGTCCGGGCATTCCGGCGCGCGCCAGCCAAACGACCTCGATCTTGGCCACGGCCGAAGGAAAACGAAAGTCGACTCCACCCTCCTCGACCTCGATTTCCCATTTACGTCGCATCGGTCCGAAACCTTGGCCAAAGAATAGAGAGGTGGCGAAAACGTGTACGTCGGACGTTCAGCGTCGTCTTCCCGTACGCCTATAAGTTTAACAACGCGTGTTTGGAATTTCGATGGAATCGTGCTCGACGTTCCAAACACCATTGTCAAAATTATAGGCTTACAGAAAGACGACGAAAACGTCGGCCGCAACCTCTCTAATAACTACGCCCCGACCGTAAGTTATCTACGTCTTCGGATCGTACCAATAACGATGAAAGCGGAATACGAGGTGGCGTCGGAGAAATTAACCAGTCTTTTATCTTAGGAGTATGTCGTGTCGAAACATAAAAGTAAACGGCGCTGCGAAAAACTAAGCTTAATTACCATTTCCGATTTACGTGTACGGACAATACCCGACAATTTTCTGGAAAAACCTTTCGGTATTTTTTTTAAATTTTAAGTAAAAATATCTCCCGGTAATTTAACGTTTCTCGACGATAAAGCGATTATAAGGAAATTATAATCCACATCCCCGTTATATTACCCGAGTACCGCGGCGAAATTCGACACGGAGCTGCCTTCCGGTAGGAGAAAACACCCGCTGGCCGAAATAACCTCGGTCCCCGTTAGTTCCGGTTGCGGGGGTTTATCGCCCACGTAAGCACCGTAGTAAAACAAACCGCGTAATTCCACTCCGGATATCGGCGAATTTTTAATATTTAAGCGCAAAAACTTGGCACGGATAAAATCTTTTATACGTTTCTTTCGGTCAAAAATCGGGGAGGCCGGCGCTTTAACCGAAAATTGTAGTCCGACGGAGGAAAACTTTCCCGTGTTTATTAAAGACGATTCGGTCTTCTTTATTACGTCATATTGTAATTTTGCAATAATAACGACAATTATTACTTTATACGTAGAAAAATATTGGCGTCGTACATTGTATCGATAAGACGGGTGGTGCCTCGTCGGCGCTAACTTTAGACTCTAGGGAGGACTTACCGCACTCTATCGACGCAGCGGGAGAAATCACACAAAGATGGTTAAGAAACGTGCTTGCCTTCTTTCTTTTTGATTCTTAGGTATTTTATGTGTATCTCCGGATCGATGGCAATTAGCTTTCCCTCGCTTTGTTTCGACTTTCGGTTTTCAACTTTGTATTTTAATTCTTATTTTCTGTCTGAATTCGGTTAGTCCCAGTTGTAAGTTAGATTAGGGTCTCTTAGCTTGGTTTCCGGTTAGGTTAAATTAGATTAGGGTTGTTAGCTTTAGTTGTCTGGTTAGGCTCGTTTTAGGTTACGGTAGGTGATTTTATTCAGTAAGTTAACGTTAAAAAATTGTCTCTTTCGGTCCGTTCAACTAAAGTGGCCAAGGACGAACCCGTATCGCGTAGTTGCAGCGTCTCGAACACGGGTGGTACCCAAAGGGGCACTAAGGAGAAGTCATCTGGCACGTCACTTACCGTACGAATGAGAAATAAATTGTTTTATGTAACAAATGCTATAGCTCCAATGCTTATCAAAATTAATTCAATTTCTTATTTTTTCCCTATATTAACAATAATCAGTTACTACAGTACAGAGAAACAATCTTATTTCGTAAAATCATGCTAATTCCTTTAATTATACGTGTTTGCTAGAACGATCTATTCCGGCTGGTGCGGATTCTTTTTTATGAAATAAAGTAAAATTAAGCCGAGTTAATTAAAGAAAATTATAAATACCGTACGTGTAAAATTAGTCAAAATGATTCCTTCTTCACCAAAATGCACATGTTTTATTTCCTTTGTTTTTGATACATATATCTACTGTTATACAATTAAATCAATTGCTAGTACAAACCACAATTGAACTAATATATATATTTCTCGAACAATATAATGTTGTACTTTAAAATATTTCAATACTTCTGAACAGTTGTAGTTACCTGAATTTGATAATTGTACAGTCATTGTAAATAATATCACATTGTTGTAGGACGCCAGAGTATTTTGACAAATGTGCAGAATGAGTTTTAAAATTCCTGAATAAAACACTTTTACAAAACAAAAATACTATTATAAAACCACATCGCACTAGAAAACTACGCAGACAATATAATAAGCTGCTTTTTTGTCTGTATACTTTTCTAAAATGTTTTCATTTTGGCATATTTGTTTATCAAAATGATGTGGAATTTTTGCAACAAAACAAGTACAATAAATTGAATGCTGTCCTTTAATTACACTAGGAACTAATATTACCTCTTGATCAATAAATTTCCAATAAAATATACTTAATATCGATATTAATTAATAATTATATATAATGTTAAAATAAAGTAATTATATTTCAACCTGGAAAATATAGTAAATACTTGGTTTTAAAGTAAAAAGCTTACAAAACAATTTCATTCTATGATCTATTCTACTGAAGTTACAATCACTAGAAACAATTCTATTTAATTCACCATCAGCCCCACATCAACTACTGCCTACTGTCACTCTACTCTATAGCAATTTTGTTTTCTTATCACTAATGGACAGAAATGTTTCACAGATCAAAACAATTATACAGAAGTTACATATGATCACAACAGATATATATACTGTATATATATATATATATATTTATTTATTTATTTTATTTATATTCATTTATTTATTTATATATATTTATTTATATTTTTATTTTATTTATATAATGTTTATAAAAAAAATTAATCCAACAAGCACCAGAAGTTATGTAGCATGTAACAATTCACATTAACAGTGATAGCAACTGCTTCTGGCAGTTTATAGGAGATTCTATTGGCCAGAGTAGATTTATAATGTGATCAATTGCACCATTAAATACTCGGGCATGTCAGAAGTATGTTGTTCGTACAACTAGAGCTGCCTCTGACGTACGTCGTCGGCAGACAACAACAATATAGTAGTATTTAAGGCTAAATATACGACACAGCTATTTTTTCCTTTTTATCTACAATTCCGTATAATTAGCGTCATTTATGGAAACATGGACAGAAATAGCAAGAAGTTACTGCATACATCGGCATTTAAAAGATAGGATGCGGTTCTATTTCTTTGGGCCGTTTCTCAATTCTTCTGCATAGAAACAGTTTTTAATTGCTGCAATCAGATATTATATTGATTAACTTTTTGTAAATATTACAAAAAGTTACAATCGCAATTGAAAAATATTCAATCACATTTACTTACCAATAAAATATTACTATATAGCTATTAAAAACAGCATTAAAAATTATATAGCATGAAATGAAAAATTTAGCTTTTATGAAATAACAATCTAAACCAATGTAGAAAGCAAATAAGATACCCGTATCATTTTTTTTCTTTTTGCAAAATACGAAGCTGATCTTGCAAGTTGGTCGGAAAAACAATAGGTTTATCACAAATCTTATGTTTGTGATTTAAATCCTGAGTGTGAGTATTAACCACGTGGTTTTGGAAACTTCCACTCTCCGAAAAAGAGAGTTCACAATAAGGACATTTATAAACTTTTTGACTATTGTGAACTTCTTCGTGTTTATAAAGCTCCCTGATATTTGCAAATGATTTACCGCATTGCGGACACACAAAATTGTCTTTAACGTGCTGCTGGAGTATGTGAGCGTTTAAACTGTTCGGATCTTTGAAATTTTTCCCACAGATACCGCATGTATGAGGGCAATCTGTACTGTGAAACTCCATGTGATGCTTCAATGTGGCAGAATTAGTAAATATTTTTCCACATAGTAAACAGGTTTGTGGTTTCTCTTCGATATGAGTTTCCATATGACTACTTAGATTACTTGAACTGGTAGTGACGTAGGAACAAAAATGGCATTTATACTTCTTTTCCTTTGTTTCGTTCCAGTGATTGCGGCTGTGATGAGTTAGGGCAGACGGAGTCGTAAATACTCGATCACATTTGTCACAAGAATATGTTTTCTCTGCTAAAATAAAACTTTCTTCATTTTATGCTTTTACGGTTGATCAAAAATGAAATCAATAGTGTCTGAATTTCAGCATTTCATTTTTTTAAATATTTCAAATATACATTCGGGAAGACTTAAAAAATCATGCTGTAATTAATTAACAAAATCAGAAAATATAAGTGTATTGCAAGATAATTTTATAAAACATTCATTTGAGAACTGTACATTTAATACTGATTTATATCTTTTGAAGAAAACAAACAAATATACAACTAATAGTAATCTTAATATAACGTTAGCTTTAAATTTTGGTGTATCTGGTAAATAGCTTGGTAAGCATTATGCTTACGATTTAGAATAAATAATCCAACATCGTCTACCAATTAAATTTGGTTTGGTTATCAGAATACTGGGAAGACTTGAAAAATCTGCAGTTCAATAGTCATCCAACAGCTATATTTTGCAATATTTAATTTGGGAATTTTCATTTACATTTGATAGATGGGTATTTCCCATATTTTAATCAATAATTTTTGTAAACTTACAAAAATCATTGATTAATTAAATTATCTTGCAATGCATCTGTATTATATTTATAATCTACTGTATTAAAAATAATAGTTACCAAATCAAGTGCATTTCAACCTTAGAATACTAAACAACTATTTAACAATTGGAATTAATTAATTAACTCTATTTTTAATTAAAAATTAGTTAAAGGACTTTAGCTGGATTTATTTTAAGATTTTTAGTGGTTTCATATTTACAAGAATAAATTAAATAAATTACACACAATATGAATATATTGTTTTAGAAAGCTAAAAGAAAAGTATAAAATAAGGAAATTTCCCAGAAAAATTGATTCTTTTGCATTATATATTTTAGCAATATATGATTTCTAAAATATAGCAATGGCTACACTTTACCAACCTTTCATGCAGTCTATTTTATTAACGTAATCTAGGGGTTTCGTTTGTCATAAATTGAAAAATTGTTTGATTCCGATAAAGGTCAATTAATTTGCATTAATAAAATAGACTGCAAGTTAAAGGTTGGTAAAGTGTAGTTATTTTTGAAAGTGCAATTCGAGAAGAGTATAGCAATGGCTAAAAACATTTCAAAATCATAGTATTATTTCTGAAATTGGTATTCTAAAGTTAAACAAAACTTGATTTGAATTGCAATATTCCTAGGAATGTAAATATTTTTTATTGTCAATATTTTACACATGTACATAATATATACCTAAAGTAAATAAATATTTAGTAACAATTTATACAATGGACTCTTGCTTTACATTTTGTTCAGCATATGATCAAATCACTACACGACAATCTTCATAATAAAATGAAATATGTCTATTGTATATTTACTTTACAATGGAATGACAACTGCTGTCAGTTGAATCACTTAGATGAGCATGACAGATCAACCAACTAGTGATGAAAACAAAATCATTTGGGTAACTTACATTTATCAAAATGTTTAAAATGATGATTAAAAAAAAAGGTAAACAGTCATCTTTAAGAAAAAAAATTAGGAAAAAGTTATCACATTTTAATATCCATTTTGTATTTTATATAATATTAATATTTCCATTATAAAAATCATCCTTTGGAAAATATTGCTTAATTCTATAATGAACATTTCAACTTTTGATGATTTGTTTCAAGATCTCAGAAAATAATGTATTTTTATTTCATTTTTATATTTTCATGGTATAATGAAGTTTCTTGAACAGGTAACCATAAAGCAAAGTCTATTGTATAATACCGAAATCACAATTTAATCATAATCCTCAGACTTATTATTACATTAAATTGTCTAAGAAAGTGAATTTACATTTTCCTAATGACAATTTAAATTATATAAACATTGCAATTATCGAAAAATATTTATAATCAAACAATTATTTACATATACATAATTACAAAATTTTTCTATTATGTTTTTAGAAATTCTTATATTATAATACAATTAGTAATAGAGAATTCAGTAAGTTGCTTGTGTCTAATAAACTAGTTAAATGGTAAATATTATAAAATCATTAAATATTTTGACTGCAGAAGAAATATGCTTAGATACAAAACATTTGATCATGTGCAAAATAAATCAAATAAATGTATCAAGCAATTTCTACAGATATTTATTTATTTAATGAAAGACTGGCCATACACAAAGTGTTTAGCAGGCAGAACACTTTGTGTATGGCCATTGTCTATTGTTAAATAGAGGATAGAGAGGGAAGAGAAGAAGGGAAGGAGGAGGATGAGAAGATAGAAAAATTTCTACAGATAAAATTATTATTACAATAGAAAAGCTTTTAACCTCTTGCTATTATATTTTGAAAATTTAATAGTTTAGCAATAAATATAGATCAACTCATTCTGGACAATATTCACAGAGAAACTTTTCTACATTCAAAATACTTAATTGTTGAATCATCAGTTTTCACAACTTTCTACACTAATATACTCTTATTTAAATCATTGTTTTAGATATATTTTTATCAATAATTATCTTACAAAATTTTAAATATTAAGACAATTTGCGTTTTTATTTAGTTGATTTTTTCTCCTATTAGTTTGTGAAATAAGTTTGTTTTATTTATTTTTGAATGCTGTTAAAAAAATCTTCAGTCTGATATAAAACCATTTAACTTAACATAAATCACTGAAATCAAACTAATATTAATTTTAAAATTGCTTTTTTTTTCATTTATTTTTTACTGTCGAATGATTACTACATGACTTTTATTTTCATAAAATATAATTTAAAAATTATTTCTTTTTAAAAATGTCTTTATTCTATATCTAATGATTATAATTAAAGTATCCTATTCAATACTGTCTAGAGCTACTGTACAGTATTTAGAAGTCCAAATGCAACTAAATTTGTTATAGTGACATTTTGGGACACGCAGAAGGCATTCATAACTCGCTACTTTTGTACTTTTGATATTGCGAGCAATGAAAAAGCAGTTTTCTTTGCTTAAAAATGTATTTTAGCAAAGATAGCTACAACTGTTGAATGTCATTCTTTCTGCTACAGTGCCGTGGATGCACTTCAGAAATTTCATCATTGTAAGAATTTGTGCCGAAGACTCAAGCTCTCAGGAGAATGATCACCCAATCCAAGGAAACTCCACTCAGTCAAGAGCTCAAAGTTATCACTTCATGAGTCATTGAAGATGTCACTACAGATGTTGAACAGTCAATGAATAATGTTACAAGTTCCAGTAGTGAAAGTGAAACAGTCAAGTGATCTTATGGCTCAATATGAAAGGTACCAAGAAAGTTAATGAATTGTTATCAGTATAAGATCGGCCATAACCAGCAGTTGCTTGCTACCAACAGGAAAACCAGGTTGAATTTTGCATTGACCTTTCTTACCAGTAGTGTTGCCACCAGACTGGTTTTCACCAGGATAAGCCAGCTTTAAATTCATGGTCTGGATTAATTATTAATTTGTCTGGTTTTTGTAGAAATTGTGAAATTATGAAGTAACAAATTTATAAAAACATTTGCGAGTATTTTGCAAATATTAAGTTTGTTTCAATGCAAGTCCCTAACTGATTTAAAACTGGCATGCGCATTGTTCAGTTCTTGGCTGTAAAATGACACTGTGCATGCCTCATATTGTTTCCTACAACGTGCATGCCTCAGTATAACATCCTAGTTTTAAAATGTTTGGGTCAGCAATTTTGAAAAGGTGGCAACACTGTTACCAGAATGAAAGTGGATGTATTATGGTACAAAGATGCAGTGAAGCAACAAAGTATGCTTTCATCTTGACAAATGACCATATTTGTCATCAGTGAACAACCATAATTGTCACATTTAAGCTACAGAAAACCATCATCTTATTCAGCAGATTTCACTAGGTTAGCCTGAAGTCAATCTGATGTGGATTCACAGTCACATTTATTCTTGGATTTATTCAAAGAAGCTAGTTCCAAATGGGCCTGTGACATGCTCTGTGATGATCCAGACACACAGAAATGCTCAACATTTGTCACACTTCAACTGCAACAATGCCTTAAATCAGTTACTTTCATATAAGATGGTACTGTACATAGCTGCTTTGGCAGCAACATTTCACTAATAATAGTTATTTGTTAGTCATTGTTTCCTACTTTCACCAGATCTTAATGCATATAATTTTTGGTTATGAGAACACTTAAAGCATAGTTTTTTGCTTGCAGTACAAAAACTGCCATTATAGAAAGTTTCGATACTAACTTTTTTTTTTACAAAAATGAATTCTGCATATACTAAAACATCCCCATTTCAGATTTGATAGAATTTAGACTGTGACATCTCTCTCTAGACAATATTGAATAAAAGTACTTTAATTACAATCACCTATTACGCATGATAATTAAAAACTATTTCAGAGAATTACTATACTACATATAAGTAACAAAATGTATTTCAGTAATGAGTAGCTTCTTGTTTTAATCATTATTCATTAAAAAATTCACAACTTATTACAACTATTATTAAACAATAAACTATTTCTAAATATAAAATTAATATAATGAGAGAAAATATTTACCTGAATTCTGTTCTTTAATCTCTGAAAGTTTCAACAAATATTGCTGTAAATTATTGGCATTACTAAATAGACTTAACATTTGTTCACTGAGATCAAGATTTTGTTGCTCTGCTGATACAACTGGTTTCTATCAAAACAAGAATTAAAATATTGAAACTCTGTATCTTGTAAATTGAATGAATACAATAATTGAAATAATTTTAAATTAACAAAATTTTTTAATATTACATTAAATAAAGCAATTAAATATTTTTGTTTTTGATGAATGATGAAAGTTCTTAATGTTGTTATCCAAGAGAAAATTTTTGTCTCCTCTAGAAATATAGTATATATTTATAAATGAAAAGCATGTAAAAATAAACTGAAAATTTATTATTTTAGTGGTTTAAGATCGCATGAAATTGTTACACAAGAGAAATAATTTTCAGAAATTTTTACATAAAGGAGTACAGGTATACCTCGCCTTACGTCGGTAATTGGTTCCAGGAAAACGACTTAAGTAGAAAAACGACGTAAGTCGAATTTACTTGTCTCCAAATCTACTTGTCACTAGGCTAAACCATAAATTGCCAATTCTGGTTCTGTATTTTATTTATTAATGCATTTTTAATAATGTATGGTTAATAAGGATCTATTTTAAGCTTACAAACAAATAAATTTTAGTTTTTAATATAGTACAGAAAAAAGTCATCTAAATTTACGAATGCATGTACTGTAAATACAGTACATACTTGTAAATGTATATATATTTAATATGATTTTATGTGCTTTAAACATTTTTCTAGTGATATTACGACTTCAATATTTGTGACGGACTGACGTAAAGTCGAATAAAATGACTTAAACTTGATTTTTAGTTTTCCATATACTTTTTTGACAAACGACGTATAATCGGGAACGACGTAACTCGAAACGACGTAAGTCGAGGTATACCTGTATTAAAAAAAGTTTTTGAACATACACGAAGTTGGAAAAAAGTAACTGAACAACAATAATAATAAAAGGATTACATGCAAAATAATAGAAATTAATATTTTGTTGGCCTTCCACTTAATCTCATTACATCTTTTATGTATCTTGGCACTTTCAAAATTAATTCTTTGAAAGTTTCTGAAGTTATTTTACATCAGTTAATTTTAATGGCTTCTTTAAGTTCATCTTTATTAATATCAACTAGCATTTTCAACTTTGCCCATAAATTTGAATTTCCGTTGGATGAATAATTATTTTTGCACAAATTAAAGACAAAGTTGCTCTAAAAATATTTCAGACAATCACCATTTTTATTTAATGTTCTAGAACAAATCATATTTGTGCAAAAATAATTATTCATCTGATGGAAATTCAAATATATCGTTAAAATTTGTCACCAGAGGAATATCTTGGCATAATCTGCATTTGTCAGTGCTAATCCTCAGTAGATAAAAGGAGCCAGAAACCCGAATGGACAAGGATGAACTAACAAGACGTCGTAAGATTTACCATTCCAATTTTAAAGAAGAATTCTTTTAATCTTTATTGGTTTTTTGTGTTTTTTAAGGAACTTTTTCAAATGTAGGCAGTCACATAGCCTAAAAAGGAAGGTCCAGCTGTCTATGATTTGTTCTAGAACACTAAATAAAAATGGTGACCATCTGAAATATTTTTAGAGTGATTTTGTCTTTAATTTGGCCATTAATTTTCAATAGGGTTTAAATCTGGGTTATTTGCAGGTCCTTAAGTTTTAGATATTCTTTATTTCATTTGGCTTGATGGCAAGTAGCACTATCATCCTGAAAAACACCAGCAGCATTACCAAAGTGATCTTTGATTGTTAGAATTATAAACAATTCTAAAATTTCCTCATACACTTTTGCTGTTATAGTCTGATTAAAAATATATATATTTCCAGATTCAATAGCTGATATGCAGCTCTGAATCATTAAACTTGTTGGAAACTGAATGTTCCTATTTAGGCAGTCTTCCTTAAATTTCTCATCTGGGCATCTGCAATTGAATTTTCCTGCATCACCACCACATCCAAAGAATAAATAACTCTCATCTTTACAAATAACCTTTTCCTAGTCTTTTATGATATAATTTTTATGCTGTCTTCACCATTTTAAACAATTGTTTTTTGCTTCTTGGTCAGAAAAAAATTTTATTTTGGCTTTCAATTAAAAATTTCATGTCATTCAGTCTATTTCTTACTGTTCTATGACAAACATTTTATTTTATTTTTCTTCCATCCTGTATTCATTTGTTTGGAAGAAATTTTTTGATTTTTTAAACATATTTTTTCAATAGGTGATCTTGAGCCTTACTGATTTTTAGGAAAACCACTTCTTACATGATCTTTTTTGTCCCCTGTGCCTTTAAACTTTTTCTAAGTGTAATTTACATCCTAGCATCACACCAACACACATTGCAACTTCTCTTTGGTTTTTCCACCTGGTAGCTTTACAGTAGAACCTCGATTATCCGGATTGTTCAAAATAAACAAAAATTTTACAAATTTGCTGATTTGCACTTGACAAATTACGATATTGTTTATATACGTGATGGAATGTATAACTTTTTTTGTTTCTACAACGTATCACCTGGCACAGTGGCCGTAAACTCTTAAATATATTTTGCGCCGTAATAAAAATATAACTTGACATACGTATTTATTAATAATTTTATTTTCAAATTACATCATTTCTATGACCAAGGACGGTGTAAGGCATGGGCAACGTGGGCCACCGCCTACGCCTCAAACCTCGAACACTACGACCTCGCACCTCGAAGGTTTATGCATTACTTAAAAGCCGCAAATGCAAAGAAAAAATTTTAATCATCATAAAACGATAAATAGTTTGTCAAATTTTTATTCACAAAAATGCAGTTTCAACTGCTTTTTATTTTATAAAATCCGTCTTCTTGCGTCACCAGAGGGCCTTTTAAACAATAGGTAGTCTGTTAGCATTGGTCAGTAGTAGTCCAAATTCAATACGAACGTTTGTTTCTTGAAAATTTGATCACGATTTAAATACAGTATTTACTTTTAATATTACCGATATGTCATCGAAAAGAAAACGTCTTGTATTATCATTAAAAGACAAATTAAAGTATTTGTTTCGATTATCCGAATTTTTCCTTATCCGGACTACCTTCATCCCCAATTAGTCCGGATAATTGAGGTTCTACTGTAATTTGTTTTCTCACATCATTACTAAATTTGGCCCATTTGTCTTCATTCCCTGAACACTGGGAGTTTGGTTGTGGGTTCGCGCCATGTTCAGACAGGCTGGCCACATGGAATTTTCCGGGTTTCCCCCACATCTGTAGCGCCTAAATAGGGGCCTAAAAAGACCTCCCAGAAGGCATCTCCCTTAGGCAATCTGCCTAAGGGGGTGTTCTGTTGCGACAAACAAACATTACTAAATTATTTGATTGGGGTCATTGTTTAAGCAAAGACAGTGTAAAATATCACTGTTTACTTAGAAAATGATGCAAACATATCTTTTTACAGCTAATGGTTTCTTCAATTCAAATTAGAATGCTCAAATCTGTACATTTAGAACACTGTTTGAATACCTTTTCCATCTTCTTGTGTGTTCAAAAACTTTTTCCAATACTCCTTTACATAAAAACTGTTTTCTGGGAAATGGTTTGGTTTATTCATTTGATTAATTTCAAATGATTCACACTTGATAATCCTATGAATAAAATGTATATTTTTGTTTCAAACATTAAATTTTTATTTTCTTGAAAAATGAGCTCAAACTAAATGATTTTATTTTCTTACATCATGTTCAAATACTTTTTGCCATGGGTTGTAATTACACTAAGCAAAGTTTAATAACTATATATTAACTCATCAGTCTTTGAGATGTCCATTATACGTTTAATAACTATATTTTAACTTGTATGTTTTGTGATGTGCAAATTATGATTGCATCAGCTGACTGATAAAAGTATCTTTAATTTGCCTACAATAAATGAATTCTGATACAGAAATTTTTGTTTTGGCAAGAAAATTTATCACAATTTACTACATTTAAAAAGATTATTATTTTTTGATTATAATATGTTCACATAAAAAATGTTTTATATTTATTATATTTATACATTTATTATTATTATATATATTTTATTCATAGGATTCTCAAGTGTTAATCATTTGAAATTAATTTACACCAGGAAATTTTTTCATTTTAAGTCCAATATAAGGAATATAAAACAGAATTCAAACAAATTACAAAATTTTAAAATAATTAAAAAAAAATTATCAAACAAAATAAATTCTATTAACTAGAAAACAGTTAAAATTCAAAATTAAAATTATGGTTCATGCTTAAAATGTTTCCCATCCTTCTGATTTTTCTTTGCTTATTTAAAAATCAAAGTCCCAAAGATAGACCTAATAAATGTGAAAGTATTAATTTTTTAAAAAGCAAAGCAGTCTCTTTTTATCTTGTTTGTTTGAGAAAGAACAATATGTCATTCTTTAAACTTTAATTTAAAGAACTCTTACTTAAACTTTACTCTTAGTCTTACATATATAGGATTGAAATAAAAGTTTGTTCGGGCATATACATAATCAGTCATTTGTGTCATCGCTGTTGTGCTTATCACATTTTAACTTGTTTAGATAGGCATTACATATATTTGAATATTTAATACATAAGTCTAGTAATAGCTATTTTTCTAAATTCCATTATCTTTTAAGAAAAAAGCACATTAAAATGGAAGATAAGAAGGTGCATTTTTGACATCTCATGCTATATTATTTCCAAAAAGAGAAGCATGCAACAAAAACTCAAAAGAATATTTGCACTGTATATGGGGAGGATGCAGTTACTGATCAAACATGCCAGAACTCATTTGCGAAATTTAAGGCAGGCAATTTTTCTCTTGCTGATGCACCTTGATCAGGATGGTCCTCAACCATAGAAGATGAGACCACAGTGACTTCAATCCAAAATGATCATCATAAAACAACACAAAAGATAGCCAACACTTTAAAAAATATCCTTGGATGCACTCCCCATTATAATGTTTGGGTTCCCATAAGTTAATGATGAAACCTTATTGAGTGTGTTTCTGTTTGTGATTCACTTTTAAAACATGATGATGATCCATTTTTAAAGTGATTAACAACAG